TCTACAGCCATAGCTACGTACAAAACAGTTTCCTCCAGGGGAGCGGGGGGAAAACACAAAAACAAAAAAACAGCTGAGCAACTCCTACACATCAGGTGAACGAGAAAAAGCCCCACTTAGAAACAGGTAAGAAAGGCTGAGACACAATCTCACCATAAACCCCAACCCCAGTGCAGCGGCCCCCAGGCAGGAAGTCAACCTTCTCCCTGAGGAGTAAAGGGTTTGAACCCCACATTGGGCACCCAACCTTTAAAACCTGCACCTCAGAGACAAGCCTCCCAAATATCTAGCTTTGCAAGCCAACAGGGCTAGTTTCTATGACACGCTCAGGCCACAGCAAACTGAGGAACAGCTCTGAAAGGACTCGCCTGCAGTCACGCAGCCCGGAGTCCAGCAAAGAGGCGGTCGACTGAAAAGTGCTCCCACTTTCTGTGAAAGAGGCTTATTTGCTTATCTTCAAGGGTCATTCTGAAGGGCAGGCATCTAATTTATTAATAATACAAATATACGGGCCTAATGAAATGCTCTCCAAGACAGAAGCCGGCTGGCGCCATTCTTTCCTCTTCCTCTTCCTCACTCAAGCTCCCTGTTATCTCCAGGAAAGGAGCTTATACCCCAATCTGAGTCCCGTGTTTGTGGCTACTGAACAACAAATCTCTCTAGATATTTGGCTCTGGTAGCCAGCGAAGCTGAAGCTCACGGGTCCCACCGAACAGTAACAAATGAAAGATTTCTTAACCAAATAAAACTGGCAGGATACAGCAAGACGCAAGACTGAGTTCCAAACCTTTCTGTGAAAGAGTCCTACTGGCTCGTCTTTATAGCTGCGTCCTGCGGGGCAGGTGGCTAATTAAACACACATCTAAGGGCTGCCTGGAAACTCTCCAGAGATGCTGGAGGACTGGAGCTCTCCCTCTGCCGCGCTGCGGAGCACGAGTGTTATCTCCCAAGGAGGAGGGTGTACCTGCGTCTGCTGCCCTAGTTCTTGTGGCTGCTGCTCAAGGGACACTCCCAACCCCCTAGCACTAATGATGTGCAGAATCTGTATTCATGGTCCAATCCCTTGACACTGTAACAGTGGAGAGACAGTTCTTGGCTGGCTACCACACTGTACACAGCACAGACAGCAGACTGAAACACATCCCCAACTTTCAGTGAAAAAGGCCTCTTTGCTTGTCCGGGAGCTTTGGGCAGAGGGGCAGGCTTCTGGTTTGGCATACGTCTAGGGCACATGTGTCAAACACAAGGCCCGCGGGCCAAATCCGTCCCACCAGGCCTTGCAATGTGGCCCGCACCGCGCTGTCATCACTGCACTCCGCTGCGTTTCCATCACAATGACAGTTTATGACTGTTCAGTAAACCATTCGGCCCGCGATTTAGGCTGGATTTTAGATTTTGGCCCCTTCTCTGATTGAGTTCAACACCCCTAGTCTAGGGGACCTCTTGAGTTACTCTCCAGGGATAGAGGCTGGTCAGTGTCATCTTTGCTTTTTCCCTCTACCTGGTTCCAGGTTGGCCGTAGCTCTCAGAAAAAAAAGCTTCTACACTTATCTAGCACCCCCAATTTTTGTGTCTGCTGCTTATCAACACCAAGGAGATGATAGCCACGTTTCACTGCTGTTTGCCCTCAGGTCCTTCATCTTCTAAGCACTTAGTATGTTTTCTTTTAAATATACTAGACATTTAACTTTGATTGAAAATGCGATTTACTAGTACATGTAAACAAATAAATGAATAACCTTTTCACATGTCCCCCATGTTCCTTTAAAAAGAAAAAAAAAGTGCTAAATCTCTCTTCATAGCCTATTTGGCCATAGATGTCCCACCTACGGTTTTAAAAACAGACTGCAAGTTGATGTTCTGAGATCCTTTCTTGAACTAGAACTCATTCTGTCAGAGAAGTCCTACTGATGTTGTCCACAGTCCCTAAAAGGTGAGGATGGTAACCAGGCTGAAGGCAACTGGGAAGAGACTTGAGCAAACTGAGGACCATTAGGAAATTGTACTGAGGCAAATCGCATCAACAAAACAACCAGCTCCTTCAATTAAAGCTAAAGAATGCCACCTGACCCAGTCACAGCTGACCCAACCACAGCCACTGATCCATTTCTTGCTGCCAGGGTGGCTCCTGTTGAGGCCACACTCTTACCTGAGTTTCAGGGGTCCTCTTTCCCCCCAAACTTGAAACATACCGCAGTCGATGATGGAAAACTGACTTCCCTGAACTGCAGGGCTTCCTCTGAACTTCGGAGCCCTGGTTTTAACAGCTGTCAAACTCCCTCATGGTCTGTGGTTCACTCCCACTGGAGAATTGTGAACACTTTCGATTGCTTGAAAAGTGCCGCCCCCCATGGCACCCATCATAAAGACCCCGCCGCAGTCATCCACAATTCACCAGGCAGGGCTCTTGCACGTACTCCTCCATCTTGACTTCAACTTACTTCTGTGTAAGAGAACCCCAATACAACTAAAAGCACATTTCTCAATAGAAATTTTGCAGATCAAAAAGGGGGTGGGGCAAGATATATTCAAAGTACTGAAAGAAAAAAAAATTTCCAAACTCTACTGGGCAAAGTTTCCTTCAGAATTAAGTGAGAGATAAAGGATTTTTTGGACAAGCAAAAGCATCATCAGTAGATGGGTATTATTAGATACTTCAAATAAATTTCTTTAAGAAAATAAAAGGAGGCTAATAAGTAACAGGAAAACATAGGAAAGAATAAATCTCATTGGTACAAGTAAATATACAATTCAGAATAATCCAATGAAGTAAATTATTCACTTATACAGCTAGTATGAAGATTAAAAGATAAATGATAGCTATAACTACAATAATTACTAAGGGATATACAAGATAAAAATTATATAAATGGTGACATCAAAAACTTAAAATGTGGTAAGCCCAAACCGGTTTGGTTCAGTGGATAGAGCGTTGGCCTGTGGACTCAAGGGTTCCAGGTTCAAGGGCATGTACCTTGATTGCGGGCACATCCCCAATGGGTTCAAGAGGCAGCTGATCTGTATTTCTCTCTCGTGGATGTTTCTAACTCTCTATCCCTCTCTCTTCCTCTCTGTAAAAAAATCAGTAAAATATATATTTTTAAAAAATTAAAATGCAGGATAGGGAATTAAGAATATAGACTCTGCCTGACCAGTGTGGCTCAGTGGTTGATCATTGACTTATGAACTAGGAGGTCAAGGTTCCATTCCTAGTCAGGTTGCAGGCTCAATCCCAAGTAGGGGGCGTGCAGGAGGGACCTGATCAATGATTCTGTCTCATCATTGATGTTTCCATCTCTCTCACTCCCTTCTTCTCTTAAATCAATAACAATATATATTTTAAAAAGAATATAGAGCTTTAAAATACATTCAATTTAAGTTGTTATCAACTTAAAATAGACTATTTTAAATATAGATTGCTTTATGTAGTTTCATGGTAATCACAAAGCATCTATAGCAGCTACCCAAAAGATAAAGATAAAGGAATCTAAACATAGCACTACAAAAAATTATCAAATCATAACTAATGAGGTTAAGAAAAAAAATTATTAAACAGCCAGAAGACAAATAAGTGAGTAACACCAATCAACAATTATTTAAATGTAAGTGACCTAACTTTTCCAAAAGAAATAGCAAAACATGAGCTCACAGATACAGAGAAGAGACTGGTGTTGCTAGAGGAAAGCAGTAGTGGTGGGGGGTCCAAAGGTACATTCAGTTATAACATAGTTATTTCCTGGAGATGCAATGTACATCCTGCGACTACAGTTAACAATAATGTATTTTATTTCTGAAAATTGATTAAAAATTATTAAAAGTTCTCATCACCAAAAATGAGACAAGCCATAATGGTTACTTGCTGTATTTCTTGTACCACATGATCTCACACATATATGGGAAATAATGAACAACATAAGCTGAAGAACAAAAACAGACCTGGTGACAGGGAAGCATCAATCAGACTGTCAAACCTCAGAGGGAAAGCAGGGGAGGGTGGAAAAAAGGGGGAGAGATCAACCAAAGGACTTGTATGCATGCATATAAGCCTAAATAGTGGTCATGGACAACAGAGGGGTGAGGGCATATGTGGGGAGAGGTTTGGGATGGGAATAGGGGGATGAGGACAAATATGTGATACCATAACCAATAAAGAAATTAAAAATAAAAATAAAAAGTTCTCATTATAAGAAAAAAAAATTTGTAACTAAGGATGGTAATGGATATTCAGTAGACTTACTATATGATCATTTCCCAATATATACAAGTGTTGAACACCTGAAACTATAATAGAATGTCATATATGCCATTATATCTCTTTTTTTAAAAACCCACAAAGTACTTAGAGATAGAATTAACAAATTTGTGAAAGATGTGTATGCTGAAAACTACAAAAAGTTGCTTAAAGATCACACTAAATAAAGACAGAGGGCCGAGATTTGGCTCAATGGACAGAGCGTCGGCTTGGGGACTGAAGGGTCCCGGGTTCGATTCCGGTCAAGGGCATGTACCTTGGTTGCGGGTATATCCCTAGGAGGGGGTGTGCAAGAGGCAGCTGATCGATGACACTCTCTCATCGATGTTTCTAACTCTCTCTCTCCCTTCTCTCTGTACAAAACCAATAAAATATATTAAAAAAAAAAAAAAAAGACAGAGGGTTTTTCCAAGAAGAGCTTATAATATAGTTAAAAGTGAAATTACTATAAAAGAAACTTAAAAATTATTAAATAGTCAAGATAGGATAGTGGTATGATTTCTCAATTTGCATACACATCCACTTTGAAAGCCTGGAAAAATGTTTCAGTAACATAAGGCAAAACTCCTATATCCAGATTAGACTTCTCCCTTTATTCTACATAAGAGAAGCATATAAATTCAATAACCTTCTTTGTGCCTATTACTGCCCCCCAAAATAATTTATAACATATAATTCTATCTCTAGAAAGCAGTTAAAAATGGTCTCATAAATTGAATATGAATAAAAGTATGAACAGGAGCACAAGTTTTAAAGCCTTCCTGAAAAAATTTAATACATTGTCTTTAAGCATAAATCTTTTTTTTAAGAGCAAACCACAAATTGGATTATGAGCTCATATTTGTCACAGAGCAGCTACAGATGAGACTTCTTAAGAATTAAATGAAGTTCTTGAACCGCTGAACATAAGCAACAGCTGGCAACTTATTTCAGCAAGTATTAAATTACAAATTCTACCAGGTTAGTGGAAGTGGGTGCAAAGTTCACCTGGAGTGGAATAGTGAAAGCTCATTTTGCAAAATTTATCCCCATATTACACCAGCAGCTTAATATGGGCTAGGGGACAGAGTGGACTAGTCAAAAGGGTTATATTTCTTAAAGTGTAAATGTACATTTAAAGTTTAAAACTATCTGTAGCCTACATCTTAGTGTCATCAGTTCCATAAAATGCGTTGCTTTCTTCCTAATCACCAGTCAAATCAGCTTCATTGATAATTTCAGAACATGAGGGGTCCAAAGAAGGGAATTCAGCCTAAGAGGATGTCAAAATGAGGAAGTGCAGGGAGCCAAAGGCCTGCAGGTGAGGCAGCATGAGAAAATGGCCTGCTCTGTCTGCATAAACTCTCCGAGCTGAAAGCCATCAGCAACCACATTTGAAACCATCTTCAATGTTGCATTTCCTGTATGTGCCTGGAATTGTTAATGCCTGATAAATTCTGTGAGTTACCATGTTTCCATTTAGTAGTCAGTTTGAGTAATAATCTAATTTTATTCACACTTAACAGACATTTTCACATCCTAAAAAACACACCTGTATATAAAGAAGGTTATTTCAAAGATAAATTTTTAAGAAATAAGCAACCTTAATTTAAAATATAAATTTGTCTTTATTACTTTTCATTTTGTTTATATTTCTTTGTATTATTTTGCATTTATTTACTATATCCTATGTTTTTGCACTTACAATGTAAGATTATATCTGTTTATATAAAAAATAATATTCAGCTCCAATAAATCCATAAAAAATTACTTTTTAAAGTGCAGTAAATATTTAAAACATTTTAATAAAAATGAACATGAATACTATGTTAAAATATCACAGTATTCCCCACAAAGTAGTTCAATGATAAAGAGATATTGCCTGATATTTTACATAGAGTTCGTGTCTTTATCTCTATTCTCAAATATTTTATTTTAAAACTAATGCTTTTGTTCCTTGTAAGATATCTAATCCATTGGTAGTGCATATTTATCATTTGTGATTATTTGTAAGTAATTGTTTACTAACAAATTTTAGGGTAAAAATCATATTCAAAATGTCATTTTTTCATACTATTTTTTAAGTAGTTAGCTATATTGTTTTGTGGATTTAAACACACACATAACACTTCCACTTCCTACATTGATGAGATCAATTTAGCAGATACTGAAACCTTAAGATAGAGTTAATGCTTACTGCTCACCATCATTGAGAATTTCTACAGAACAGATCAACTGTACCACACTTATGTTTGTAGACTATTTTGCCCAGCAGCTCAATCAGGGATAATGCTACTGGGGGATGGGGGGAGAAGAGAGAGACTCTAAATTCATGTTTATATCAAACTGATACTGGGTTTTTTTTTCAACCTGTATAAAAACTTATCATCCAAAGCATATTAAAAAACATATACCGTAATGTTTAACTTTAGCAGGGTTGTCAAAGTACTGACAATAAACCAATACCATATAAATACTCTTATTTTGGCAATGGACTACAAGGTTAATTTCTAGAACATTCAACTTAATAAAGTAACTCATGAAAATTAAACTTTATAATTTTTCCACTTTTGATACTATATAAATTAGGTAATACCTGTTTATAGAACTTGAAAAAAATTCTGTATACTAAAATTGCTGCAGTCTATAAGGTATATACTATTTAGAAAACATAATTGGTCAAACATTCTTTTCAGATATATATCAATACATATAAAGGTGAAAATCAACATTTGTAGCATGAATAGGTTTGATTAGCAAATGTCAACCACGTAGATATGATTGTCTTAATCAAAGTGTGCCTAATTCTAATCACCATTATACCTGAGAAATCTGTAAGTTACATCGTGAGTTGTAATCCCCCATCTACTACCAGAACATGCCCTGTAATATAGGGTGATTCTAAGAGAAACACAACTGCGTGTGCCACATCAATGGGGTCTCCAAATCTCCCAAGAGGGATATTTTTCTTTAAATGTTCTTCATTCAAGGCTTTCGTCATATCTGTATGAACAAATCCTAAAAGAGAAATGTTTGTTTAGTAGAAAAGAGTAGATACTAACACAGTTGCTCAATCTCAAATAAAAATAAATGTGTCCAGAAAATATATTACTAATAAACCTGTGTAGAAAATACAACAGAGTTTTGCTAGCAATCAAGTAACCAAATCTACATTTATATTTGACTTATTAATGAACATTTATTGAACACTAAAATCTTTGACTCTCAAATATTTGGCCCAACTCATAGAAAAATGTAAGTAGGTACATATAAAAATTATATTCCTTGGGGAACCTAAAATTTAAGGAGGAAATAGTCACTTGTACCCCTAATTATAATGTAAGGAATATCCTGATAGAGGTATACACAAAGTACTACAGAATGGATTATTACTTGAGTGATGTAGAAGGGGTAAGGTAAGGTAGAGGGAAGGAAGGCATCACACAAACTGATTTGGCACTATGACAAAATTAATTCCATTTGCTATAACTAGGACAGCTGATGATTAGAAAGACCAGTATTTCCAACATTCATATAACAAAAAAAAAATCTTTGGGTCATATCCAATTCTGATAGAAGTATAGAGAGAAAATTAAAAATTTAACATGGCATTGGAGTGTGCAATAAAGTTTGCAGAGAACATGTTCTAAAGTATAATGTTCTGTAGTATAAAGTACTATGCAATATTTTAAGCAACTAATTCTAAATGTAATTATTTAATTTTTTTTTGCCTGAAATTTTCACTTACAAATATCTAAATATTTGCTTAAAAGTCTTGTGAGAAATAATCATAGACATATATGTACTAGTAATACCCTAATCAATAAAGAAAAAAAATTAAAAAAATAATCATAGATTTTTTTCTGTCAAGAAGCGAATGCAATGACAGCTTTGTTAGGGAAAAAAACTGGAAATAAGTTGAATGTGTTTTGATAAGAAATTAGCTATAGAAGTCATGATACACACACACAATAGAGCAATGTGCAGGCATTAAAATATTTCTATAGAAAGATGCTTAATATAAAACATTTGTATATTTAAAAAGTAGGTTGAAAGGGATGAATTTACCAATAATGTCTTTTCCTCTTTGATTATGATGTTTGATAGAGACAACAAGACCATGCCCAAAGACATAATTATCTGTAACTTTTTTAACAGACTTATATTTTTTAGACCAGCTTAGGTTTATTAGAAAATAGAGCACAAAGTATTCCCATATCCTTCCTTATCACACTGCATCTCTCCCCACCATCTGATTTTCCCCGACATCCTGCCTTAGTATGAATACTTGATGAACCAATATGGATACAGAATTATCAAGTCAAGTCCATGGTTAACATTAGGATTCATCCTTTGGATTGTACATTCTGTTTTGACAAATGCACCATGTCATGTATCCACCATTACAGTATCATACAGAATAGTTTTACTGCCCTAAAAATCTATCTGCAGCTTTATAAAACTCATATATCATCCCCTAAAATATCATAAATCAAATAAAAATGTGAAGCTAGTCTCTGACAATAAATTACTTCAGCTTTAACAAATTTCAATGTCATTTTATGCAATAGTAATTGAACCACACAATCTTCATTGATGCATATATTCACAGGGCACTGCATATCAACACTCTTTTGTATTCTTAGTATCTCTTTAACACTCCACACACCCACGTTTCTATTGCTTTTCAGTTTATGCTTCCTCTCCTTAGTCCACAGATTGTCACTTTACTTGTAATGTTCCAGAAATTGGCTCTACTTCTCAGTTTACATACATATTTACAATGCCTTTCAAGCTGGGCTATAAAAATTATGAACTATCAGTAGGTAACACTATCCAACTGATGGTGTTATTACTGATCACTTGTTGCACAATTAGAGGATTCCAGCTGGCTACAAAGCTTAACGGATAAATGAAATGGTACACACTCAACCAACATAGAGCAAGAATACTGCTACTTTAATTCAGTAAATAATGATATACACATTATTGCTTTTTATAAAACACCTGATGCACAAAATTAGTACAAGAGTAGGCCTTCCTTCCCTTGGCTGCCAGCACCAGCTTCCCTCTGACACCCAGGACCCAGGCTTTCCTCCAGCTGCAGGCAGGCACCCGGGACCCGGGCTGCTTCCTTCTGGCCACCCGCAGGCACTCGAGACCCGAGCTGGCTTCCTTTAGGCCATCCACAGGCACCCAGGACCTTGGCTGGCTTCCCTCTAGCCCCAGCTTCGTCAGGAAGGACATTCAGAAGACATCCAGTCTAATTATCATATTACCCTTTTATTATTATGGACTGGAGGCCCAGTGCACAAAATTCATGCACAGGGTAGGGGAGAATCCCTCAGCCCAGCCTGCACCCTCTCCAATCCAGGAACCCTCAAGGGATGCCCAGGATCGCTGGTTCCTAACCGTTTGTTTGCCTGCCTGCCCCTAACCGCTTGCTTGCTTGCTTGCTTGCTTGCTTGCTTGCTTGCTTGCTTGCTTGCCTGCCTGCCTGCCTGCCCCTAACCACCTCTGCCTGATTGCCCCCTAACTGCTCCCTCCTGCTGGCCTTATGCCACCTAACTGCCCTTTCCTGCCGACCTGATCACCCCTAACTGCCTCTGCCTTGGCCCCCGACACCGTGGCTTTGTCTGGAAGGATGTCCAGGAGATGTCCTGTCTAATTAGCATATAACCCTTTTATTAGTAGATGAACTCTTTAGAAACAGGGTCACTCATAAAAACAAGTATGGTATGTGCTTCTAATCCAATGAGAGTTTATATGTGACAAATTCTAAAGAAAATGTACTTCCTTTATCCATTCCTGGCTAGCTATAATATATAGTATAAATAGCTTCTAAATTTCATATTACTTGGTCACTATTTTATTTTTGAACATTTTGGTATACAGCAAAGACTTTATGTTTAAATAAGATACCAGCATATTATATTATCACCAATATTAACAATTATGGGGTGTAACTACTAGATATTTCCATCACCTCAGAAATCCAATCTCTAGGATTTAGAAAAAAATAATCTCAGATATTTCTTTAACACATTAAGCACCCAGTCACCAGTGACTGACACTCTACTTTCCATTCAGAAGACAAAACAGGCTGGGCGCTTAACGTGTTAAGACAGAAGAAACAAGGTTGTTGACAAAAACTAGACCAAGATTTTAACCAGAACCAATCTGTATGTCTTCAGATTATGTTTATAAAAATGTATAAGGAAGCAGTGTGTAAAAATCAACTCCACACCAAAGAGCTCATAAGAGCACCTAGAATAATATCTGTCTTGAGTAGCTGCCAAGTTTATCCAACATTTGTCCACAAGACTTTCTTCAGGTAGTGAAAATAAAAGCTCTTCAATTTAAAAACAAAACAAAACAGGAGAGGGCAAAACAGTTAAGGTATCCTAACAAATAAATGCAATGCTATTTTATTTGTCAAAACCTTAAATGATATACCCAGTGAGCCTTGGCCATTTCATTTCCAGGATTATATTCATATACTCGCACATGTGCAAAATAAAGTATGCACAAGTATTCTCACTGCATTATTAGTTGTAATGACAAAAGATCAGATACAACCTAAATGCACATCAAAAGGCAACAGGTTCAATAAATTATAGTACACCTGTAAAACAGAAATTATCTTTCAACTAGCCATTAAAAATGATGCAGTAGTCACAAAAGACTATAAGTTATATGATTTCATTTATATATAATACATGAACTGTCCAGAATAGAGAAATCTATAGAAACAGATTAGTGGCTGCCAGAAACTGGGGACATTGTAGAGAAATGGAGAGTACAGGGTTTCTTTAGGGATGATGAGAATGTTCCAAAATGTATTATGGTGGTAACAGAACAATTATGTGGCTATACTAATAGCACTAAATCATACACTTTAAATGAGCGCATTGTATATTATGTGAATTACATTTCCATAAAGTTATTTAAAAAGTGATGCAGCACTACATGGAATAATAGGGAATCAACTCCAAGATTCATTGGTCTATAAATAAAGGTAAAGAACAGTGTGAATAGTATGACATAATTTGTGTTTTGTTTAAAAAAAAGAGAGAGAATACACATACACACTTTATTGGCTTGTATATGAAAAACAGAAGAAACTAGTTACCAGTGTGTTGCTCTTGAGGGAAAGGAGCTTGATGAACAGAGGAGCGAAGACTCACTTTTCCCTCTAGGTCTTTTTGTACTTTTGAATTTTGGACTATGTATTATCTATGGAAAACACATCTTTAAAGCAAGGTATCCATTACAGCTTCCACTTATCAAATACTGCTTCCCATATTGTATATTTTCTAACCAGTAAGATTTAACTATGATGAGTAATTTATTTTATATTTAAAGTAATAACAAAGCTTAGCAATCTGATCTTTCAAAAAAAAATCAAGAGCCCTAAGCAGGTGATTCAATTGGTTGGAGCATCCTGACATACACCAGAGCTGCAGTTCCAATCGCAGTCAGGGCACACACCCAGATTGTGCGTTTGATCCAGGTGGAGGTGCATACAGGAGGCAACCCATCCCTGTTCCTCTCTCACATCCCTGTTCCTCTCTCACATCAATGTTCCCCTCCCCTGCCTATATATATATCTCTCTTCCTCCCTCCTTCCAAACTTCCCTTCTTTCCTCCCTACACCATCTCTAAAATCAATAAATACATACCCTTGGGTGAGAATTAAAAAATAATAATAATTACAATATTAAACAGCAAATGACAGCCTAATGTATTATTTTCCTTTTCTCTTGCTTTTCCTATTATGAATTACTTTTTAAATTATGTTCATTCATTGGAAATTCCAATTGAAGGTGACTAGGAAAACTGTTAATTCTGATATTTGTCGGGTCTATTAAAAGGTCTGTTAAAGAATAGTATTATAATTCTATCGAAAATAAAGTTAATAAATAATCCATAGAATAAATTTATGATAAGATTCAACTTAATGTACTATTTAAACGTATACTTCTGACCAATAAAACATATTCATACTATGAAACCTACTAAATATATATAGCCAATATTGAACAGCCACAATTTTAGCAATAGTTTTTAGTAAAAACTGCACTGGAAAGATCTTTAGAAAAGCTTATACATACAAATGCACTTCCATAACAATCATAAAAATTCCCTTTGTATACAAATTGCATTCCCACTATTAGCCTGTTGCCTTGACAACTAATTCACACCAACAAAATGATGCATTCATTCTTCAGCGTTTCCATAGCATCATACATGTATCTTTGTATGTATTACATGCCACTGTAGTTATTTGTTTATATGTCTGTCTCTCCCACTGTACTTAGTTCCTGTGGCAGAGTATCTTATTCATTTTTGTAATTTTGGAAACACTCCCATGCATAAGCCTGCTGAATGATTTATTATGAGTTAAGAACACTGACATTGCCCTGAAACCATCAGGGTTGAAATCACCATGACCTAGAATTAACTCTTCATTACCTACACCCCTGCAGAAAGGAAGGCAACACATGCAGTTCCAACCACAAATGATCTGTTCTCCACAAGGATGAGCGAAGCCAACACTAAAAGCAATCAGCTGTACAAAGCGTCACAAACAGGAAGCAGTGCCAAATGGCAGTGCAGCTTTGGATTATTTTTTTTTCTTCTCTTCTTTTTTTGAAAAATGGATGTACTGTATCTAAACCACAGTCTATCAAATGTTCATGGATTTGCAATGCTTGAATTTAGCCAGTCTCTGTGACAAAACATTGCATTGGGATACAGGCACATTCCACAGCAAAAGGGCTATCAGAACATTTGACCATTCCCATTTCCCTCTGTTTCAACATCAGTGCTAAATGAAACACCGATTCTAGTGTCCAAGCTGCAGCCGTTAGTGACTTGACATGAAAAGGTGGCAAAGTCTATTTCCTATTCACTCTTTCTTACAACCAAAAAACTGAACAAAATGTCTTTTCTTAATATAGGTAACAAATTCTTAAATACCTATAGTAAACTAGCACAAAATCCCATGGCTAACTGGCATGGGTACATTAAAACACTCATTTACTTAAAAAGTCAAGTAAATAGATACGTAACTAAAATTTCTATCACACCATCTAATGAGTGATAATGGTAGATTCAAGTTTTAGCACAATTTTATTACCCTCTTAATTACCCCAGGCAATTTTATCAACTAGTAACTTGGCAAAAGGAAAATAATATAAAGGTAAAAGCTATAAAATTGGATAACTGTAGATAATTTAGACAGGCCATAGTAACAAAAGGACAAAAAAAAGACCTAAAAACTTCTAATGATACAAAGGAAATCTAAGGAGCCATTACTTTGAAGCTTACATTATCTGGGGATGAAAAGATAAAGCTTTTAGTAACAGTCCTGGCATAAACCTTCAGCTAGTCACTCTCTCCTAGGTCCGTCTTCTGAACAGTAAAAATCACTGGAATAAATGAGCTACAAGATCCTTTCCACCTCATATTTTCCCATAATTAATATTTAAACATAAAGATTTTAAAGATAATATAAAGTACTGGAATTTTTTGTAGTCACCAGTTCATTACTTGATTATTTTCATAAGCATTTTAGAATTATTCTACCTATGAGTACCAATTAATAGGCCAATTAATGGCTTCCTTCTCTGTAAAGAAAAAAATGAAGACTTTCTTTATAGAAACTATAATTCTGGTAATAGATTACCAGTTACAAACAGACAAAGTTAATTGCCTATACGTCCCATTTAATCCAACAATATTGTCAAATAATGCGGGATACCCAAAGTCAGCCTATAAAAGGGACCGGTGCACAAATAGGTTCCTCTTGACTTCTTAAAGGGCTCTGGTTTCACACTTGCTTTGTCTCACAGGTGAACTGACCTCTGTTGGCTGGGGTTTTCCATCATGATTAACAAGAACACAAGTGTTCCTGATGGATTCCCTAGGAAGGCAGCTCTATTGCAAGTTTCCCACTGTGACTTCTACTATTTTAAAAATTCAGTGAACAGCCGAAACCGGTTTGGCTCAGTGAATAGAGCGCCGGCCTGCGGACTGAAAGGTCCCAGGTTCGATTCTGGTCAAGGGCATGTACCTTGGTTGCGGACACATCCCCAATGGGAGGTGTGCAAGAGGCAGCTGATCGATGATTCTCTCTCATCGATGTTTCTAACTCTCTATCCCTCTCCTTTCCTCTCTGTAAAAAATCAATAAAATATATTTTTAAAAATTCAGTAAACAGCCACCTCTCTATCCATCTTCACTGTTGGCCACTCCCAAATATGTCTGATTTTAGAAATCTCAGTTCTTCCTGCACATGGAATTGAACTTGTTGGTACCAGAGTCCAAGTGTTCTCTTTTCTGTTAAGACGCACTACCACTTTCCTCCCCCATGACATCACACAGTGAGCTTCCACTCGGTCATTCAACAGGCAACCGCTGCCAAAATGACTTTAAAATCTTATTACTTCATGGAGTGAGCTTTTAAAAGATCTTTCTTCTTCCTGAGTCTGTGTAAATCTCTTTTGTCCTTTGTGTTGAATTTCTAAGATGAACCTGGGTGGCTCTCTTAGGTACAATGATGTCCAGTGAAAGTTATCTTGTCTATTTGGGGGGGGAAATTATATAACCTCTGGCAATTCTTTTTCTGCACAATACTGACTTTCTGGAGTAATTAGATCTGCCAGTATACATGGCTGCTTTGGGAAATGTGCAAACCATATCACCTATGCAGCCTTGTTTCCTCTGGATTGTACTGTTATTAAAAGCATATTGTATTACAGAGCTATTCTGTTACTTTAAATATAAAGAAATATTGTGTTCCATCCCCACACACACACACATTGTTACATCCTTAATTTATAACTGATTTTTAAATGAGATGCTTATCTTGTCATTTTAATTTGGGAATAATCTTTCAGTAAAAATGTAACATGGTTTATGCAAACAAAACAACCTGGCATTCCTGTTGGCCTCCCCCTTTCCTGCACCAATATGCTGAGAAGCCTAATGATGCTAATGCACTTACAATCTCTGCAATTATTGTATAAAGCCATAAACATATATAAATGTGTAAGAAGAAAGAAGTTTTCACTGACCTGGAGCAACCACATTCACTCTAATTTTCTTTCTTGCTACTTCCTTAGCAAGAGCACGGGAAAATCCAACCAATCCTCCTTTAGCAGCACTGTACACAGACTGACCAGCATTGCCTTTTAAACCAATAATGCTCCCTAGAAAGAAAGAAAATAGGCAAATTCAAGCCAATTTACTGGGATAAGCTTTAAATTATCTCAACTATGGAGATAATATATACTAAGAAAAAAAAATGGAACAAATTATTTTACCTTGTCCTTTGCTAAAATTAGGAATTCTAGCCATGTCACGTTAGTGGTAAGAGTCTAAATCTGCTCAGTTACTCAGAAAACAGGATTTGAAAGACTCTTATTTGAAACCTCAAATGCCAAGTTGGGTTTGAGAATTGATCCATTAAATGAAAGAAACCCACTTCTATCTCTGAATAGGTCAGACATAATAGAAATTTTACAGTATTTTTAACAGCTTCCATTAGGAAGAGGATAAAACCAGAATAAGTCAGATTAATTTTATAATTCTACAACACAAACATAGAGAAGCATTCATTTCCACCTTTAAAAAAAAAGTTCATCTGGAGCTAAATCTCACTAAATTTGAATTACTGTCCATCTAACTAAGAAAAGCTTCAATTACAAACTTTTGGTAAAATTGCAATTTAGTTACCTTCAGTTATGTAGTATAACTCGCACTGCCTACTAAAGATTTTAGATGGCCTCATTTATATGAATATGAAAGAATAATTTATAATTCAAATATCAACTGTATACAAATAAATTCATACAAAACTTAAGTGGGAAAGTAATTTTCTGCACCATTGAGTGATCTGTACTTATGATATAAAATTAAACAAGAATCTCACAAAATACTTGAAGTAATTTTATTTTAGAAAACATTCCAAATACTTTTTATATTATTATCAACAAGTCCAATATTAAAATGTTTATCTACATTGTATCTTAATAACAAACAATGAGAAAGTGAAGTACAGAAAGAAAAGAGAGCAGAGGAAATGAAGATGGACAGAGCAAGGTGTGTTTGGAAGAGAGAGGAATATGCAGAAACACAAAAAAGAAAAAATTTATATTGCCATGGAAAAAAGGCCAAAGGAAGCTATGAAAGCTTGGTTCAGCCCTAGCCAATTTGGCTCAGTGGACAGAGCTTCCACATGTGGCCCGAAAAATCCCGGGTTCGATTTGGGTCAAGGGCACATGTCTGGGTTAGGGGCTAGATACCTAGTTGGGGGTTGTTCAGGAGGCAGCCAATCAATGATTCTCTTTCATCATTGATGTTTCTATCTCTCTTCCCCTCTCCCTTCCTCTCTGAAATCATTAAAATATATATACTTTTTTTTAAAAAGCTTTGATTCATGCCACATACTATTGTTCTTCTGGTCAAAAGTGGTAACTTCTGAAATACCATCAATTTTCCAGAAGTTTAAAGTAGTCCTTTCTGTAATAAGATTCTCTTAACTTAAATTCTAATTTTATTTACATCTAACACAGTTCTAACATTTTGCATGCATACAAGGGAGTGACGAGGATTTTTTAAATACATCTGAAAAGAAGATACTTTGGAGTTAAACAAATACATCCCTGGTTATCAGATGATGTATGCAGGCCAGTCTATCAGCAGCTTACAAGAACCTAAATCATTATCTGGCTGTGTTAGAAAGCAAAGGTCGGTTCACTTAATAATCTTTTATAAGAAAGCCAATCTCATATTTTTAAGGATAAATGTCAAAAATGTTCTAATGTTTATTAGCACTATATTCTTTTCTCACTTTCAAAAAAGAAAAACCCTACATTGGGCTTTGAAAGATATTCCTATATTAAGATAAATAGGGTCATTTACTTCAATGAAGAAATATTCTCCTTTTGTGGCTTTTAAAGGTATTACCACCTAAATTAACAGGCACAGCTACTGGATCTGAGCCCTGGTAGCTTCTGGCATTCCAATGGCCTCTGGGCACCAAAGCTCGGTCTTTTGTCATTTATTACATGACTGTGCTGTCATTTTCTAATACCTGCTGGTGTCAACTCATTCCACACCTACCTGACCACTGCACAGATGTGAATCTGTGATACCTGTTTTACCCATTCATCAGTTAATCAAATCCTTTCTCCACAGATAATAAGATGACACATTTCATCCAAGTTTCAGCCATGAACAAATTCCAATTCAGTCAATTAAATATTTTATGGTACTAAAAGATAACTATAAATTCACAAAGTGAAGACTCACCTACATTAACAATAGATCCTCTCTGTTGTTGAATCATAGTTTTCATGGCAGCTTTGCAGGTCAGCATGGAGCCCAGAAGGTTAGTATGAAGCTGAGCTATCATATCCTCAGTTTTTGCTCGTACTAAAAGGCTGTCCCTAGAAATAAAAGGCACAAAACATAAAAACACTATTAAAAAAATCAAGAAATATATAACATTTTTACTGAAAGTAGAGTATAAAAAATGCTTCATATCTGAGCTAGATTACCTAGAAAGTCCCATTTTAAATTTGGTTTGAGAGGCACTAAATAACAAGTAATTAAGGCAGAAATGTTCTCCTTGGAAGCCAATTTCTATCCCCTCAGGTAGAATTGCAAATATTCCTAACTGTGAGAAGTGGTGTCATGTAGCCAAAACAACTGGAATTAACGGAGCAAATACTATATTAAGCCTTCCTTGTTTATCAAAATAACATATTATTCTAAATATTCTGTCCAAAATTCACCATAAAAAATATATATCAGCTGTGATCCCATTAATGTTAAGTTCATGAATTGACAAAACATATATGATAACAGAAGTCAAAATAGGTGTTACCTATAAGGAACTATTGATGTGGAAGAAACAGAGAGCTTTCTGAAGTGCTGGGAAAGTTCTATAGCTCAGGACGAATGTTGATTACAATGTTAAAAAATGATGGAACTGTGCCCTTATTGTATTATCTCAAAAAAAAAAAAAAAAAAAAAAAAATCAGGGATTTACAGACCAAATTTTAAAACACAGTTTTTATTCCAATTAGAAGTAAAATAAGTACCTGGCTCATGTGGCTTAGTGGTTGAGCAACAACCTATAAACCAGGAGGTCAAAGTTCAACACCTAGTCCAGGGTCGTGGGCTTAATTCCCAGTGGGGGGACGAACAGAAAGCAGCCAATCAATGATTATCATCATTGATGTTTCTCTCTCTTTCCTCTCTAAAATCAATAAAACCATATATATAGTAAATATACTTAAATTAAGGACCAACCTGTTAATTCCAGCTGCATTTACCAAGAAGTTAACAGGACCTAAATTTTTCTCCATCTCTTCAAATGTGTGTTTAACTTCATGCTCTTTGGCAACATCACAGCTAAATGCCAAATGACCACCTACAAAACAAAGATCAGAATTAGTTACAATTTGTAACTGGAACTTAAAAATTATTTAATATACATTTGTTAATCAACTACCATGAGCGTGGCCTGTGCTAAACTAGAACATAGAGATCAAAGATGATGTCATGGGTTCCTGCTCCCAAGAAGTTCAGTTTAATGAAACTGGGGTGAGGGAAAGTGAACAAGGGGAAATAAAGTAATACTGCAGAATGTACATCTTAAACTTGTTTTTAATCAACAAAAGTGAAGGGGGAAGCCTTTTTTTGTGTTTGTGCTTTGTAAAATTCACCTAATAATACTTATACCTTTGATACTGACCCCACCAACTCAATTCATCAGTCTTCTGGGTTTCATATTCCTTTTTTGAATGTTATGTCTAAATCCTCTTAGGGTTTTGTCCAGTTATTTTCCGGGTCTTGCCCTGAACATAAAATCTAGGGTTCCTTTATTCTTTTTCTTCTTCATTATGGTACATGTTTTATTGTTACTACTACCACTGCTATTACTATTATTCCAGCCTGACTATTAGGAGAGATTTTAAAAAATGCTAAAACTACAAACCATGAAAACTTTTTACTAAAAGCAACAATTATTTCTTTTCTAATGTTCATTTTTTTCAAATGTTTTATTAAAAAGTTACATTTCAAAGAGCACTCTATTTAATAATTCATCATTCTAACACTCTAAAACGTAGATTTTTTAAAAATTATTTCTGTCTGTCCCTGCCTACCAGTTAATACTAGAAGCACTCCCTCAAGCTTTTAAAACAATGAATCATTGGGAGGTCACACTTCTGCGTATGAACCACTCCTGGAACACGACTCAAAGAAATGAACGGCCCACAGCATCCTGTCTCACTCCTGGCTTTCCGCTGAAGAGCTGTTGGGTCCACAACCCTTGAAAGCTCAGCCATCAGTTCCCATCTGGTCCAGCAAACAAGATGGCTGCGGTGACTCCATAAAGACCACCTAGTCCACCCCTTTGTCAAAGTAACTATAGCAAGGAATATGAGCAAGAAGCATTCACTGAAATCCCCCTGGTCTATCACTTAGGTATGTGTTTCTTTTGGAAAGTCTAATATTCTCCTAACCAGTGTAACCCATTAGGGTAAACTAATGCTATTTTAAAGGTTCCAGCCCCCAGGTGCATCCCCAGGCCTCTGTTCCTGGCAGTAAACGAGATGCATCTGTCCATCCCAGCAATTAAGCAAATGGCTGCACCTTAGTGCCTCCTCACCACCAAGAGACTTAAGTTTGGAAAACAAGTAATTGATCTATTATGAAATAGGAAAACAATTTTTTTGAGGTTAAAATGTAATTAAAAGGAATGTGGTAGAACAAAATCTCAATTGCCCACTTGTAAAAGTCACCAAAAGAATTAATAACGAATTAAGTACTTATGGAGATATTAAACCAAAGCAAATACATCTCAAAACTGACTGGTACTCAAACATCTCTATGCATCAGTTTTGCGTATCCGCACACAGGCAGGCACAGCCCTAAGAGGCCAGGTGTTGACACGCCTATCTGTCCAGCCTCACCTCCCTCCTGCCCAGCCCTGCCTCCGGGCGCCTGCGGGCTCGCCCTGATGGTGAGCCCTTTACCCTCCATTCAGAGTAGCTGTTGTGTGGCTCTCTCCTTCCAGGCGCCACAACAAAGCAGCTCCGGAGGCCAGCACTAGGGGGGGGGGTGCCTATTAATGGGGCCTCACAAGACAGTCTCAACGACCCCAAAGGTCCAGCCTGCAGGAGGCGCTCTGCGGGGAACGTCGCGGGGGTGGAGGAGGGAGGTCTCTGCACAGCTCGGAAGGGGTGCTCCTGCACGTGGGCAGCTGAATTTGCCAAAACCCCGGAGCCCTCAAGGCCAGACCCGCTCCCTTTCCAAAGGAGGGGACTTAGGAGCTGGGACCACAGCCGGACCACGGGACAACTCCACCTGGATACCTACCGCCGAGGTCACCGGCGGCGGCTTTTGCCACTTCCAGATTTCTGGCGACGATGGCCAGTCGGTAGCCCTTCTGGGCCATCAGCTGGGCCACTGCCCTGCCAATACCCCGGGAGCCTCCGAACACAGCACAGACTTTGTCCATCTCGGACGGGGGAGTCGGAAACTTGGAGAGAAAAAAAGCTAAGAGTGGCGGCCCCTTTCCAGACTTCCAGACTCGCGATTTTTATATCACCACCGCGAGGAAAAAGCAGCCTGTTCCCCGCCTCCTGCCCCGGCCTCTGGCCAATCAGGAGGCCGGGAAGAGGCACGAAGAGTAAGGCGTCAGCGCGTCGACGTCAGCGCGCACGGGTTCCCAGGCTCCGCCCCCAAAGAGGACGCTGGAGCGAATGAGTCAGGCTGGCCAAGGACCGGGCGGAAAGGGACTGCGTTGCATGCTGGGACCTGTAGTCTTGGTGCAGAAAGGGCGGAGGCATAGGCCTGCTGCTCTATGAGAAATGTACTCCTTACTCACTGCAAGGGACCTGGAAGGCGGAGGAGATGGGGTTGTGATCAAAATTAGAGCTCTGATTACCAACCACTCCAGTTTGCCTGGAAGTAACTGGGTTGTAAGACGCTGGACTTTACGTTTTAAAATCAGGACAGGCCCCATTAAAACGATATAAGTTGATTACCAGTGTACACAGAATATAGGCAGGTATAAGTGAATCTTCGATTGGGGTGATGATGGCTGCAGGTGCCCTTAACCCCAGTGTTGTTCAAGGATCAATTGTACATGATTAGGAGTTCCAGTGTCTGCCTTTCACCCAGTGTTTGTCCTTAGCTGGGGAATACATGCCCTACTTTGAAGAAGTAATCCCTAAATATCAGGCTCATACCAAAACCTATCCTACTTGTCCCTTCCCCCAAGTTGCCACAAAAATGGGCTTCAGCTCAGCAGGACATTATCATTCATCTCAAAAGATGATGCCCTATCAAAAACACCTTGTAAGAGGAGCTCAAGAAGAGTTAAATGATTGAATACTCTTCCAAGACTCATAAAACAAGCATCAGCTGATGCAAATAAATATAGGTGCTAAATACTCAGAGTGAGTAAACTAAACAGTGAGCATTTGTTACAATTATACTGTAAAAAAAAGAAAGCGTTTCTTGATATAATATTAGAGATGAAGTGTAAGCAATAGCCCCTACTACTTAACACACACACACACACACACACACACACACACACACCTGGGACAACAGGACTAATTATATATATATACTAAATTTTTGAAACAAAGTGCAAAATTATATTAATATGAAAAATCAGAGAAAAGGGAGAAGATATGATATGAAAGGGGAAGCTAGATTTGAGGGCTGGATGCAGATTAAAAGGAGGGGAAGAGGGGGGAAAAATAAGCAAATTAAGCATTCTTTTTTAAATATTACTTTTATTCCACCTAGATCCAAAGGGGTTTTGAAATGACTTGCAAAAATATACAAGTAAAACTTCATGCCTATTAGGATGGCTACTATTCAAAAGAAATTAAGTGTTGGTGAGAATGTGGAGAAATTGGAACTCTTGTGCACTCTTATTGGGACTGTGAACTGTCACTTTAAATTCATTAGAAAATAACTTTACAAGGCAAGGGACCACCCTCAGCCCCAAGGCCAGAAAAACATAAGGTCAGTGGGAAAGTTATATACAAATAAAGTCAAGCCAAAAAAATAAAATAAAATAAATAAAGTCAAGCCATAAGAATATATTTGATAGGGGAAGAAACAAATCATAGTTGGGGACCAGCTATAATTTTAAGAAATATTAACCGTGCTCTGTTTACTGTGATTATTTTCTTTTTAAAGAAGGCACATTCTAATCTGGCTAGGAGTGCATGTGGGACCTGGGTGCTCACGTGGAAATGCGGCCCATCCTCCCCATCTGGGAGCTGCCTGCTATCATGGAAAGATTAACAACCTTGTTGCAGAAACCTGAGGCGCCAGCCCTTTGAAGATCCCCAGCCTTTGCATACACACAGGCCTTTACAAATCTCCAGCCCCCATTACCTGTAAACTGCCCATTTGGCATACCCTTTTGCTTACTTCCCCATGTAATCTTTGTCCTCCTACCCAATATAAGTAGCTGGCTTATGGTGGGTGCAGGGCAGATTTTTGTGGCTGACCTGCTGCTCCCTCATACTGCTGGCAGTATTGGAATAAATGGTTATATATCATTCAACCCTTTGAATCATATATAAGGCAGTACAGATCCACTGACTGTCCAGTTACATATCAGTACTAAAGAAGAGTTGCATATGTGATTCCGAGTTGCCTAGTGGCCAAAGCAACTAATAAAACATGATTAGTTACAAGTAATAATAGCTATAAGAAATACAAACACTTGTGCAATAGAGAGATCTGAGTGAAATTTCTTCCTCATAGGTCCTCATAAAGCAATATAGCGAACTTTGCTGTCATGAAAAACTGTCTATAATAAAAGCATAACATGCTAATGAGACTGGACAGACAAATGATCTTCCGGATGTCATTCCGAATGTCCTTCCAGACAACCTCCTGGATGAAGCTGCAGTGGCAGAGGCCTAGGTAGAGGTGGTTAGGAGCAATCAGGCAGGCAGGCCAGCAGTTAGGAGAAAGCAATCCTGGACTGGGAAAACGATGTCTGTCTGCCAGTTTAGGCCCAATTTGCTGTAGGTTCAGGCCTAAACCAGTAGTCGGACAACCCCCAAGGGGTCCCAGATTGCGACAGGGTGCAGGCCAGGGTGAGGGACCCTCCCCCCACTCGTGCTTGAATTTCTTGCACTGGGCCTCTAGTATAATATAAGGTTATTTTTATAGCATCTATTTTTGTAACCAAAGGACAACACACCAAAGCTGACTTTACTGAAAGCAAATACAACAGGAAGTTAATCAATATAAGCAAACATACAGACATGAGAATGACTCCTTGTACATCTGAAACAAGGAGGAGGAAATAAAGCTGGTTGAGGGAAGGTTGGGATGGTGCTGAGTGATAGCAGACCTTAAAGGCAGATGCAGGCATTAAATAGAGAGGCACTTTGACCCCAATAGTTACAAGATAAAAACTGCATTTAAGAACAAATAGTCTAGCAATGCTATCAGAATGAGTTGGAGCAAGTTTGTCTAAGCCCCTCCTCTCACTACTCACACATATGCAACCTTGGAAAGAAAAATCTGTTTTAGACAACTGACTAATAGGTGGGTCAGCCTAAAGGCCAAGTGTATTCTGGGATCCAGTATTGCAGGGAAAATCCAGAGAGGTTCAATCCTTGTGGACAGTTCTGTCAATTTCAATAGGAAAAGGGTTATATTTGTCCTACAATTGTTATCTCAGCAAAAAGCATGGTTTATTAGATCCATCCAAGCGACCTCAAGGATCATTAACACACAATGTGAGGTGGCATTCAAACTTCTCAAAACCTTCCATTTTTTTTCTCACTGTGTGTCTATAGCAATGGTTAGGTTGAGCTTTCTTTTCTCAACACATACTTTAGTGAAACCCAAGACTATTATTTCCTCCTCAATACAACAGCCACTGCTGCCTGGGCGAGAACACACCCATCACCACACACCCACCCTGAGCCAGGTGCTCCGGTGGGGGAGGTTCTGCCTGACCCCCTGACAGGGAGCTGAGAAGCTGTGAATTACACAGGGCCTGCTCTCCCCAGCAGAGCAACATGGAGAGCCAGGAGCACAGGCACCTCCAGTCTTCTCTTCTTGCTGCACATGTCACTTCTGATAATATTTTGACCACATATTTTATTTGTCTTTAATTTAAACCCGCCTCAGACTACTACATTCTTTCTTGACTCCAATAACCAGACAATAACCAGAGCAACTGAGAATATTCCCTATCGATAAGGACAATTAGCTAAATTTTGAATATTCATACTTTGTAGTATTTTGTCTGGTTAGGAAAGGAATAGCATTTAATTGCAAAAGAATTTTAAAGAAAACAATATTTTTAAACATAGAAATTAATCGAAAGCATTGTATACATTAAATGGGTAAATTATAGGGTATATATATTCTATCTCAATAAAGTGGCTATTTCAAAATTAATTGAGCCATGGTTGACATCTCTCAGTGTGAGTGTCAGCACTCAAACGGAAGAGTCTTGGGTTCAATTCTGGTCAAGGGGATTTAGGTTCCCTGTTTTGGTTGGGGCAGGTACAGGAGGCAACCAATTACTGTGGCTCTCTCACATGGATGTTTCTCTCTCTCTCTCCTGTCTCCCTACCCCACTTCCCTTCCACTCTCTCTAAAATCAGTAGAAAAAATATCCTCCAGTTGGATTAACAACAACAAAAAATATTTAATTGAAAGCTTCTTATGTTAGGAGATGAAGTTTGAAACTGCAGCTAAAGGTAAGTAGGCTGAAGCTTCCACAGATAGTTATGTCATAAATGAAGAATTATAATTCCCCAAGAATCCAAATCTTTTGAAAATGCTATTTATCAGAAATGAGTAACCCACAATACCCAGCCTGCATGTGGTAAATCTAGCTGTTCAATACAGCCCAAGCTCTCATGCACGAAAAAGATCAGAAAGCTGCCTCGGTGTGACTGCACAGACACACCTGCTGTGAGTCACAAGCAGTGTTGGTTTTCTTGACATTCCCCACTCGTCTGCTGCGTAATCTAAGTTGTAAGGAATGCACATTTCAGCATTTACAACAGCTTATTGCATTTTGAATGAGAAGTGTCTTGGGCACTTTCATTTTGATGAGTTGGCACTCATGCCAAAGAGGCTGCCCAAGGAGACTTAACCTACCACCTGTACGCACTCAATTGCCTAAGGCAAAATGTAGAGTTTATTCCTACCCTCTCTCACACACCCCACATCCACTCCACAGAGCTCTGCTGATTCTCCTTCCTGAATATCACTCCAGCCTCTACCCTCTCCCTAAATCCCCTTGTCTAACCTTTGTTCAGGCCTTGGAGCCTAAATGACTAGTACAGCTGGTCTGTGGGCTCCCATGGGCCCTCAGCACCACCACCAGAGGGCTCCTTCTAAACTGCAAGACTCATCCTGTCACTCCCTGAATCACACCCTGCAATTGAAAAACAAAACAAAACAAAAAAACACAAAACTAATCAAGCCCAGGATGAAGCAAAGTCCTCCCAGATCTAGTTAGATTTAATAACCTCTGCTGACTTTTCTGTACTCCTTGCCCACTGTACTTCTTCCAGGTAACACATCCCCATCTATACAAGGTACATGCTCTTTCACGCCTCCATGCTTTTCCAAACAAACACTGTCTTCCT